CGTTGATTTTATGGTGAGGGGACTTTCTTTTATATATATAGATATATATATAGATGAGGGACGTGGGAAGAGTCAAAGTGTAAATAACTGTTCTTATCTGTGGCTTCACTATAGCCTCTAGCTGCTAACGTTTCCTCCATTGTTCTAAAGACAGTAGCGTCTAGAAAGTTAATCTTGTGTTCATGGCAATTACCAATAAACTTTACAGATGTGTGGAGAGTATTAATCCATGTAATGAATTGCTCTATTTTATTTTTGTTAGTAAAACTGAAATCATCATCTATAAATTGAAAATTAAGCGCTATGCTATCTTTAAAAGGGTTCACATTAGGGTCAGATGAACATATCTTCAAAAGAGCTCATAAAGAGACTTGCTACAGATGAGGTGGCTGCACTGCCCATTGCCAGTCCTCTGGTCTGTAGATAAAACTGCTCTTCACATTTAAAATATTTTTTTCCAAAAATTATATCTGTAATGTCCATCAAAAAAATGAGACTCTGTATATCCCGTTCCAAAAGGGTTTCAATTATGGTCCTAGCTTCTTCTAACAGGACATTAGTATATAAAGAAGAGACATCGAGGGTTAATAGAACTGTCTCCTTAGTGACTGTCTGTCCCTCTATTTTTGATATAAAATCTTTAGTATCTTTTAAACAAGATCGGCTTTTTGAAACAAAAGGTTGTAAGAATTAATCCAGGTATTTTGACAACAGTTCTAATATGGAACCACAACCAGAGATTATTGGTCTTTCTTTAGGAAGTCTGTCCGGTTTATGAATTTTTGGGAGAACATAAAAAAGTGGCATACATGGTTTGTCATTAATCAAAAAATTATGTAATGAAGCATCTATATATCCAAAAGAGAAAGCTTCTTTGACTGTAACCCTGATAAATTGTAAAATAGGTTCAGGTGGATCATCTGTAAGTTTACTATAATAGCGTTGATCTTCTAATTGCCTATATACACTTCCTTTTTGTAGTCTCCATATTCCATTATAACTATGATCCCACCTTTATCGGCTTATTTAATCACTATATTTCGGTCACTAGCCAAGTTTTTTTACAATCTGTAGATCACTATATGTAAGGTTATAATTACAAAAAAATCCTAGCTCTTTCTAGTTGTGTAATATCTTTATTAATTTTTCAAAAGTCACAATGGCAGGGTTCACAATTGTCAGATGGACGGTACAAAAGTGGATATTTTCCTAAAGACATTTCTCTCTGTTTGTTTATCATTGGTTCCAAAAAAACCTTTTTTTAATTTTAACATATGAATCAATTTTAAAATATCAGTCCCTTGTCTGAAATGGTCGATACTGTGGGGTGGGTACAAAACCCAATCCCAAATTCTGTAGGCATCTCGCTTCCTCACTGATAATTCTAGATGACAAATTCACCAATAATTCTTCTTCCTGACTTTCTTTAGGTCCCAGTATTTTTAAAAAATCTCCCTATTTTGTCTTCTATTAGTTCATTCTCTAAGGTTATATGAGGTTCCCTCTTCCATGGTATCTGCATCTGAGTATGCTACTTTCTTGTTTCTTTTAAAGCCTTCCCTGTTGGACATCCAGACATCCACTTATATCATTTGAATAATCCTTAAATCCCTTTCAGCTATTTTGTCTTCTATTAGTTCATTCTCTAAGGTTATATGAGGTTCCCTCTTCCACGGTATCTGCATCTGAGTATGCTACTTTCTTGTTTCTTTTAAAGCCTTCCCTGTTGGACATCCACTTATATACTCTATCATTTGAATAATCCTTTAAATCCCTTTCAGACGTCTTTATTTTAATTTTCCCAGTCTTTTTTTTCAAACGGTAATAATTCTTCTAGTTTCTTGATTTTAGAATCAAAAAGTTCACTGGTAACTGTCCCTTTAATTTTAGTTTCAACTTCTATGATCTCTATTTGCATTCTAGTAGTTCCAATGTCAACTTGATCCATACTAAGCAGCATGAGATCATAAGAACATTTATTTAAAATTGCTGTCCATTTTCTTTTCTAAAGTTCTCATTCTCCACAAATAAAGCCAGCCCTTTTTGTATGCGTAAACCTCTGGGTATTTTATCAGCATAACAATATTCTGTCAGGGAAGCCGCATGTAACATTAGTTTAATTTTCGTAAAAACAACAGCTGTGACCAGTCTGTGCCCTCATTTGAGACATGGCTCTGTAACAATTTGGGATCCTTAGTAAGAATACGGTCCCATTCCTCCTCTAAAAAAGCAAACCGGTCTTTATATAGGGTCATGATAAACTAAATAATGATAAACACAGTCTGAAGTTACAAACAGAATTTAAAAAAAAACAACTGTGAACATCAGACGTCAAAGTATCAACAGTCAGAGGAAGACACTGGCAAGCCACCTCTGCTTCTCATTTGCCTTGAAAAATCCCTTGCTGGGGTCACCATGAGTTGGTTGCAAATTGATTGCACTTATATAAGCTGTTTGTGGACTGGAGGCCATTGCCTCATGAAATGAGTGGATCCCACTGTGCTACAGTTCTTTTGTTGGAAGGAATGGGGGAGTCTTGAGATCTGAACAGAGCGTCCTGGTAGATTGGAATGTTCTCCCACTGGTTTCTGAATAATGCAATTTTAAAATGTTTATTAAAATGGGCTTTTTAAATGCCTAGGGTGTAGGTTTTCACCCTGGCCTTCAGCTGTGCCACACCAATTAATGCTTGGAATGGTCTTTTTGTTGTTGTTGTTCAGTCGCACAGTCGAGTCCGACTCTTCGCGACCCCATGGACCAGATCACGCCAGGCCTTCCGGTCTTCCGCTGTCCTCTGAAGTTTGCTCAACTTCATGTTCGTTGCATCGATGACACTGTCTAACCATCTCATCCTTTGCCGTCCCCGTCTTCTTTGACCTTCAATCTTTCCCAGCATCAGGGTCTTCTCCAGTGAGTGCTCCCTTCTCATTTGGTGGCCAAAGTATTTGAGCTTCAGTTTCATTATCTGGCCTTCCAGGGAACAGTCAGGGTTGATTTCTTTTAGGATTGACTGATTTTATCTTCTTGCAGTCCAAGGGACTCTCAAGAGTCTTCTCTAGCACCACAGTTCAAAAGAATCTATTCTTCGGCGCTCGGCCTTCCTTATAGTCCACCATACATGACTACTGGGAATACCATTTCTTTGACCATGCGGACTTTTGTTGGCAGGGTGATGTCTCTACTTTTTATCATGCTGTTTAGGTTCATCATCGCTTTCCTCCCAAGGAGCAGGCGTCTTTTAATTTCCCACTCTATGAGTCTATAATTCTATAATTCACCCAGGCTGGCTGTGGGCACGCCAGCACCTCTGTCAGGCAGAAGCGCCTGAGATCCTCCCCCTCCACTTTTCCTTCACCCGAGTTGGAGACGAAGGCAAGGGAGAGGGGGGAAAGAACAGATCCCAGGTGCTTCTGCCTGTCAGAGGGGCTGGTGCACACTTCCGGTGATGTCAGGGGGTGTGGCATATGCTAATAAGTTATGCTAATGAGCTCCTGCAGCTCCTTTTCTACGAAATGACCCCTGGTTTTGCTTCTGGAGAGAAGAATTCCTGATTAAATAAAGAGGAGATCAGTTAATCACTTAGAGCTGAAAATGTGGGACAATCAAGCAAAATATGATCCACAGAGTCAATTTTACTGCTGCCACAATTACAGAGTCAATCTGAGTGTGAAATCCCATTAAATCTTCCTGACATCACACCTGAAGATAGGGCATCCAGGCACTTCTTCCTTTCATGCATTTACATGCCAGTGGTGGACCCTTAGAAATGGGTTTGTGTGGAGCTCTTCTCCCTTCTACAATTGCTTTGAAGGCCCTCCTCTTTCATTCCCAGGGGCCTTCCCTCAAGCTTTCCTTCTTGCCACATCTTGGCTGGGAGGCAGCTCTCTGCCAGCACGTTCCTAACAATGTCATAACTTATTCCTTCCTTTCTACCTCTCGCTTCAGAGCTCTTCAGGTGTGATTCAAGTGGGCATGCTCAGAATGTGTACAGGCTCACTACTTCAATAAATTAAATTGGGCACTGTGGTTGCTATTTGCATTTAGCTTGGGGCTTTTCCACCCTCTGTGGCCCAAGGGCTATGTTTTGCACCAGCTGTTTGTTTCCAACTTATCTGTAGGGAGTGCGGTTAAATTCAAGCCCTGGGGTAAAACTGTGCAGCCTCAGCCAGTGTTTCAGCACCACTTCCATAGACAGCCTGAGAGATCTTTGCTGTTGTATATTTGATGATGGCTAAAACAACCTTGGAATTCTTAGAAAAGGGTTACCGAAGGCCAAAACTAGAGACAGATTTCTAGTTAAGTGAAGGAAAGAACATCTGGTCAAGGGTGGGGGTGGATTCGGATTTGAAGTTGGGGAAAAGGAATGGATCTCTTCCTCCTTCTTCCAGTGCTTCAGATCCCAAACTGGTGTCTTCCCGTGGTTTCTATTTGGGGATCCATTCAAAGATCTTCCATGTCATCCAATCTGGGGCCCCCATTCAAAAGAACAGTCCCAGTCACTGGCCTCTGAAAGAGGTTCAAGTGTGGCTAACCAAGTAAACAAGGCTGAAGGATGCTTCCTTGTGGAAGGGGGCGGAGCGTCGGTCTGCATGGAGACGGACGCATAGAAGCCGAGCTCCTCGACCGGACCCCTTGATTCCTAAATCTTTAAACAAAGATCGTACAAATTGCTGTCCAGGTTATGGGAAAAAAAGGAGTGAGCACGCGCTTAACCTATCCGGCGTCCTCAAAGCTTTTACATTCTTTTTTGGCCGGAGAAATCCCGACGCGACTTGAACCGGGTGCGCCACGATCGGAAAACAAAATGGCCGCCGGAGCACAACCCGGGACTCCAATTTCGGATCCCCACACAATATTTGACAAATGCCTACGTTTATTGTAACTTTTTGACAGTTGTTGAATAAAGTATTATGGAAAAAAAAAAAAAGGATGCTTCCTTGTGAATGTCTCTTCTCATTTCTTCTATTATTGGGCTAAACATGGTGTTTGTTCCTTGGCAGGCACAACTCTGAAGCTCTGTGTGTGCTGGATTCAGCTTCAGAACTAGCCCTTACAAAGTCCAGCTGTCAACACTTGGCAGTTGGGGGACCTTTTATTCAATCTCTTGCCTTCTGGCCCCTGCCCCAGTGACTCTAACTTGAACTGGGATATCGAAAGGGCCAAAATCTCTATGCATAGCATAGGGAGAGAGCTCTGTGGCTGTGATACGTGCTAAGACTGGGGGAAATGCTCAGGTATGTATGGCTCCCAAATCCTGCTGTTTCTCTGATTGTGTGCTATGCTTTGAACCATATCTTACTTGTAATCATTAAACCTGAAGCTAATTAATTGGTGTGATTAAACATTGTTGTACGGACTTTCAAAGGGCCCTGATTAATCCAATTTTTTTCCTGCATGCGTGGCAGCCACCCAGGCTTTGCTGAGATCTTTCTCAGGACTTCACGGCAAGGCAGGCTTGGATTGGGTGGCTGGGGCTGCAGCTCAATGGCAGAGCATCTGCTCAGCATGCAGAAGGTCCCAGGTTCAATCTCCGGTGTCTCCAGTTAAAAGATTTGGCAGTAGGTGATGTGAAAGGCCTCTGCCTGAGACCTTGGAGAGCTGCTGCTAGTCTGAGTAGACAATACTGACTCTGACGGACCAAGGATCTAATTCAGTATAAGACAGTTTCACGTGGGAGTTACAAAGAAGAAGAAGAAGAGTTGGTTTTATATCCTGCCCTTCACTACCTGAAGGAGTCTCAGAGCAGTTTACAATCTCCTTTCCCTTCCCCTTCCCACAACAGACACCCTGGCTGAGAGAGCTCTGAGAGAACTGCCCTTGAGAAAACAGCTCTGAGAGAACTTGTGACTGGCCCAAGGTCACCCAGCTGGCTGCATGTGAAGGAGTGGGGGAATCAAACCTGGTTCTCCAGATTAGAATCCACTACTCTTAACCACTACACCAAATGGCACCACACTACACCAAATGCACCACAATGCTGTGGGGAATCAGGGTGTGGAGGGGAGGTGGAACCCACTTCCCACGTGGAAATAACCCATGTGGAAATGGCCTGAGTCAGGGCTTAAGCTTAGAAGCTGTTTCCAGGTGTACAAATCAGCCATGGAATGTGTGACAATGGGCTTATCCTTGGCAATGTGTGAAGCCTTCCCTCAGCATATAAGGAGAAGGCTACTTAAGCTAGAGGAAGGCTTCACAGTTTGCCAAGTGTCATGGCAGGATACTGACCATAGATTGGGCACACTGGGTGGTCACAAAACAACACTTTGGGATGTCCTGGCCGGTCCCAGCCCACTCCTCATTAGAGCTCTGGTCCGTTTCTCTGCACACTCTTGACAGAAATCCATATCATACAAGTAGCTATGATGGAAAGGAAAGTGTTTTGATGAAAAATTTATCGTCTCTGTGATGAAAAGTCTCCATGGGGTTATTTGTACAACCGTTATTGTGCAAGTGTGGGGGGGAAACATTCATGTTTTCTTCCCGTAATGTTGTGAAATGTTTGGCTGGCAGACGGCTCATCATGGCAGCCTGCCAGGGAAAGGAAGAGAGGCTGTTTTGTGAGCCGAGGTCAGGAGGAGGGGGATGGAGAGTGAAGGGAGCTTCTTCAGGAAAGGAAGTTCCTCCCTTCTCCCCTTTCCTGACACCAACATTTAGTGCTTTAGTTTGTTTATTTATTTATTAAATTTGTATCCCGCCCTTCGAACATGGGCTCAGGGTGGCGAACATAGGGGAGGATGTCTCCCAAGGGGAGGATGTCTGCTCTGGAACCGTCCTCAAAAATGGTGTTTTATTTGTGACCCATCAGCTCTATGGCTCAGCCAGTGTATCTCTTTGTTGATATATTTACACACATAAGCAGTGTTCCCTCTAAGCTGAGTTAGTGTGAGCTAGCTCACAGTTTTTTATCCTCCAGCTCACACATTTTTGTCTCAGCCCAGCAAGGAGGGCTCCAGAGCAAACCAATTAATGCAGGAGCCAAATGGCTTGCTCACAACTTTAATGCCAAGAGCTCACAAAGTAGAATTTTTGCTCACGAGACTCCACAGCTTAGAGGGAACATTGCACATAAGATTCAAGACCAGTAGCACTTTAAGGACCAACAAGCTTTCTAGGGTAAAAGCTTTTAGCCCAGCTAACTGTCTGAAGGCAGGAACTTCGACTCTCAAAAGCGTATGCCCTGAAAAGCCAGTTTGGTGTAGTGGTTAAGTGCGTGGACTCTAATCTGGGAGAACCAGGGTTGATTCCCCACTCCTCCACTTGCAGCTGCTGGATGACCTTGGGCAGATCATAAGTCTGTCAGAGATATTCTTGAAAAGAGCAGTTTCTGTCAGAGCTCTCTCAGCCCTACCTACCTCACAGGGTGTCTGTTGTGGGGAGGGGAAGGGAAAGGAGTGAAGGGAAAGGAGACTCCAAGTGAAGGGTGGGGCATAAATCCAATCTCTTCCTCCTCCTCCTCTTCCTCCTCCTCTTCTTCTTCTCCATGTGGGTCTCTCAGGTGTTACTGGCCTTGAATCTGCCTGTTCTATGGCAAACCAACACAGTTGTCCTAAGAAACAACACATACATAAAAGTTACAGATATACAGTACAAACAAATAAGATTTGGAACCCCTCCCAAGTTAATTAATATTAAAAGGTATAAGGCAAAGACAAAGGATGTATGATACAAGGAGCTGACAGAGTGATGAAAGAGACCCAAAGAACACCCATCTGACCCCACCATCACCCCCTTGCAATTCTAGATTTATTTATTGGCTTTATTCATAATCCACCTTTCTCCATGGGAGTCAAGGTGGATTATAATTAAGAAGGTTACAGGAACAGTATAAGGCATATAATAAACATGGTAGTAATACTGAATTAGGAGCTGCAGTGGCTCAAGTTGTTAAGACGCTGAACTGCAGGCTGTGGAAGGTGTTCAGCAGTTCGAGACCCGAGTTGCCGCATGATGGAGTGAGTTCCCGTCTCTAGTTCCAGCTTCTGCCAACCTAGCAGTTTGAAAGCAAGAAATTGCAAGTAGATAAATAGTGGGAAGGTAACAGCGTTCCGTGCACCTCGGCGTCTAGTCATGCTGGCCACATGACCACGGAAATGTCTTCGGACAGCGCTGGCTCTTCGGCTTCGAAACGGAGATGAGCACCGCAACCCTAGAGTCGGACTCGACTGGCTTTCGAGCAAGGGAACCTTTACCTTTTAATACTGAATTACTTTGAAAATATAAATATGGCTCCAGTTACTTCCATGTCAAGTCAGCAACAAGATGTATTGAGCAAAGGAATACATTTGTATTTCTCTGGGGGATCTTAACCCTGATCTTTCGTAGATTCAATATCGAACAAAAAGGCAAAGGAATTTTGTTTTCCCTGGCCTTGAGCAGCTTGGATCTGGCAGTGGTCCTTTCCGCACTGGACTTTAATTCCTTGTTCAATCCTGTCCCTGAACTTACATTCTACACTACACTCCAGTTCACCCCTGTTTTTTAATTTTGGGGTATTTTTTGTTTCCACATTACATTGAGGTCACCCCGGTGTCACCCCACACTTGTCCCAGGATAAATGGATGCTGTTATAACCAGGGATAAATGCAAGGTCTTGTGTCGTGAGTTCAACTCTGATAAAATCAGGGACGAGATCCAAGTGCAGAACGGGCCATAGTTGCTGTCCGGATGGAGTTAGGGTTGCCAACCTCCAGGTAATGGATGGAGCTCTCCCGCTGTTACAATGGATCTCCAGGTGACAGAGATCAGTTCACCTGGAGGAAAAGGCTGCTTTGGAAGGTGGACTCTATGGCATTGTACCTTGCTGAGTTCCCTCCTGTCCCCCAAACGTCCTCCTCAGGCTCCACCTCCAAAAACTCATATTTCCCAACACAGCGCTGGCAAGCCTAGACGGCGTTCTGTACCGCCCCCCTTTTGCTGTCCAGCCTATCTCTGTGGGAAGCTAGGGTTGCCAACCTCCACATGCAGCCTGGAGTTCTCCAGGAATTACAGCTGTTCTCCAGAGTGTGGAGATCAGAAATTGCAGTTTTGAAGGGTGGATTCTATGGCCTCGCATCCCTGCTGAGCTCTGTCCCTTCCCCACCCTCCCTGGGCACTGCCCCTGAATCTCTAGGAGTTTCCCAACCCTGCAGTAAGGATTCGTGCATTTATTAATTTAAATGGTTTTAAAGGGTTGTATGCTTGCATTTCGCAGGGCTTTTTTTTTTTTTTGCTGGAACTCTCAAGAGGGAGATGAAGTTTTCAGTCTGTATACTGAAAACTCATGAACTTTTAAACATTTAAAAAAGAATTTTGTTGAAGAGGTTCCAGAACTGCATTCTGGCACATTCCCCCAGAAAAAAAAAACCCTGCTCACAAGTGCCTCGGGACTCAAGGCAAACTTTACAACTCTATGAGGAGGATGGAGAGAAGCAAGAATCCACCACATCCAGGGGCGTAACCAGGATTTTTAAAGTCGGGGGGACATGGGGAAGGCCCTGCCAAGTTACTCACACTCCCCCTTTACAACATTTGATATTCTTTTCTATTTGTTGTTGTTCAGTTGCACAGTCGAGTCTACGTCCGAGGGGGAGAAGGCGGCGCTCCAGAGACACACACACACACACACACCTCCTCCCAAGAGAGCCCCCGCCGGCTCGCGCCCGAAAGCGGTGCCCCTGCTTGAAGTTGCCTGCGGGCGCCCGGCTCGGGCCGCTGAGATGCGGGCCGAGTGAGCGGCTTGCCGGGGCCGGTGGCATGCGAGGCGGCAACTGGAGCAGCTTGGACAGCCCACCGCCGGCCCCGGAGCGGCCCCCTTGGGTGGCTTCCACCTTGGCCGCCATCCTCATCTTCACCATCGTGGGGGGGAGAAGAGAGAGAAGGGGGGGAAAGAGAGAGAAGGGGGGAAAGAGAGAGAAGGGGGGGAAAGAGAGAGAAGGGGGGAGAGACAGAGCCTGGGGGGGGGAGAGAGAGAACGGAGTTCAAGATGAACTCAGTACGCAACATTTTGTTGCGGGTCTCCACTTGTATATATTAAATCTCAGAGTTGCATGCTGAATGCTTCTGCCTGCTACCTTATCAGTGCCCCCAAGACAGGACATGTCTTTTCTGTGTCCGAGCTGGATCCAGAAAGGTGATGGCCAGTCTTTGTATGC